ATGCTCATGTAAGTCTTAACTAACTCTGTTACTGCTGCACATTCATTTTAGCGTTATCTTGTTGATAGCTTAAGTTTGTTTACGGAGGAAATTTCCATTTTTGGAATGACAAATATACTTCTTTTGGCTCCCTGTGATATATATGCCACAACCAAGAAGGTTCGCACGTGAGAGGAAACTTTTAGATTAGACAGTTCACACAATTCAATTAAGTTGTTAAATGAGGTTGTATTCACACACTTCAAGAGTAACATTTACAAGATTGTTAGCACTATTTCTGTTCTAATACATGGAGTTATCCAGGTCTTGAAGCAAGATTTGGCAGATTCATATGAACCACCCTTCAAGAATTGCGTGGAACAAGGGAAAGCCAGCAGTGTAATGTGTGCTTACAATCTTGTTAACGGGATCCCAAATTGTGCCAACTTTGATCTTTTAACAACTACTGCCCGTGGAAAATGGGGTCTCCAAGGGTAATTTCCAAAAAATAGAAGAGAATGTTTAATCATGTTTCATTTCATTCGTACATGAAATCTAACTGCATATCTATGAGACTAATTGTTACATGTAATTAAAGGTACATTGTATCAGATTGTGATGCAGTTGCCATTATGTATACTCACCAAGGTTATGCTAAAGAACCTGAAGATGCAGTAGCTGCTACCCTCAGAGCTGGTAACTGATCTATCGACTGTTTCTATTACTTTTCTGCTAAAAGAGCAAACTTTTCTGAAAAACTAATAAGTAGAAAAAAAACAATAGGTTCCTGTTTGTGAAATCGAAGACTGAAAGCCTCTGATCAATTATGTCTTGGCACTTTTTATTCTAAAGTGTGAAGTGTGACACCGTACATGTCGCGACAGAAAAAAGTTGATTACTGTACAACCCATTCTCTAGTGCAGCATGTTTTGTAAAATGCAGGACCATTGCATGCCCATGACTTGGTCCATTCTGTCCTGAAGCTGGATGGTCTGTGCATTATTGCTACTAGCATGCTTTCTGGCCCTTTTTATAAATGCTATGTCATTTTTCCAAAAGTTCTTCTCTTTGGTACTATTGATCTATTTGAGATTTTTCTGGCATAGTATTTACATGCTAAAACATCTGTTATTATTATTTGTGAGTTGAAATTCAATACTTCCTGTTGTCCAATATGAATGTAGGAAAGATGTAGCATGCATGACTTTTCTCGGTAGAGATGAAATTTGTTTCAGATGGATCCTTGATTGAATATAGTCAAATTCTACTTGTAAGAAAAAATGTAACAAAAGAGAACGTTTATTATGCATAATCAGACAATATGTCAAAACAATGTATGACAACTAGAAATTTCTTTCAAATCTAAGAAAACATCATTGATGAAAACTAAATGCGGCTTTGTTCTTGGCAATGAAATTTTAGGCATGGATGTGAATTGTGGTTCCCACTTGAAGAAATACACAAAATCAGCCCTAGAGAAGCAGAAAATACAAGAATCTGATATAGACAGAGCTCTTCATAATCTCTTCTCTGTTAGAATGAGGCTAGGGCTGTTCAACGGTGACCCAAGAAAATTGGAATATGGAGACATTTCTGCAGCAGAGGTTTGTAGTCAAGAGCACCGGGCACTAGCCCTTGAAGCAGCAAGAAATGGCATTGTCCTTCTAAAAAATTCTGACAGGCTCCTTCCACTTTCAAAGATGAAAACAACATCCCTTGCTGTAATAGGTCCCAAAGCAAATGATTCTGAAGTACTTCTAGGTAACTATGAAGGCTATCCTTGCAAGAATGTTACATTACTCCAGGGACTTCAGGGATATGTTGAGAATATAACGTACCATCCAGGCTGCGATTTCATTAACTGTACTTCTGCTGCAATAGATGAAGCGGTTGATATAGCGAAAAAAGCAGACTATGTTGTTCTAGTAATGGGATTAGACCAGACTCTTGAAAGAGAGAAGCTTGATCGGACGGAATTGGGGCTACCTGGTATGCAAGAGAGACTCGTTACAGCGATTGCCGAAGCTGCCTCAAAACCTGTTATACTGGTTTTGATGTGTGGAGGTCCAGTTGATGTAACTTTTGCAAAGGACAACCAAAATATAGGAGGCATTTTATGGGTTGGTTATCCTGGTGAGGGTGGAGCTACTGCATTAGCAGAGATTATTTTCGGTAAACACAATCCAGGTGAAGTTCATTTTAAACAATTCTTGTGGTTACTCTATTATGATGTTTAATTATTATCTATTGTTGGGAGCATCCTAAACATGCAATAATGCATTACTTTGCAGGGGGGAAATTACCGGTCACTTGGTATCCCAAGGAGTTCAACAAAATACCAATGAATGACATGAGGATGCGACCTGTATCATCCTATGGATATCCAGGGCGGACTTATAGATTCTACAATGGGCCAAAAATTTTCGAATTTGGCTATGGTCTCAGCTACACTAATTATTCTTACTCATTCGCCTCTGTCAGCAAACACCAGCTGCATTTCAAGAACCCGAAGGGGAACAAAGTAACTAAACACAGTTCTGTTCTGAACATTGCTGTATCAGACGTTGGACTAGAAGTATGTAACAACGCGATGATAACAGTTAAAGTTGGGGTGAAAAACGGGGGAGAAATGGCTGGTAAGCACCCTGTATTGTTGTTTCTGAGGCACTCTGACACAGTAGATGAGGTTCCAAGAAAGACATTGATAGGATTCAAGAGTGTGAATTTGGAAGCAGGGGCAAATACCCATGTTACATTTGATGTGAAGCCTTGTGAGCACTTCACTAGGGCCAATAGGGATGGTACATTTGTTATTGATGAAGGGAAATATTTCCTTCTTGTGGGAGATGAGGAGTATCCTGTTACTGTGTTTGTATAATCTCCCAGATCTAAGTAAATATCAAGTTAAAATTAATTATGGAAGGTGACTTATCCAGTAATTTAGTGTCATACTCTATGTTCTCGCCAAGGTATTCAATTTTTCTTTTTCCCCTTCTCGTCTTTGATTTACATCACTAACGACACTAACATGCATGTTGCCTGCAATATTCAACTGCTAATAACCGGATCTAACGAGTTAAGCTAAAACGTGTGTCCTTGACCTTATAAGAATTTATCTGTACCATTTTTCCGATAAACAAAAAAGCAGGGATACTTTGCTTCTGCTTCTTCAGAAAATCAATCCAATTAATAAACTAACAATGTGTTTGAATTTCAGTTTTCAGTTTATTACATTGTGTCGTGATTATATTTTTTAGTTCAAAACTTCAGTCTTGAATTTAGTTTTTCAGTTCAAAACCTTGAGGCCATTGTATCCTTAGGCTCAGATTATTATTTTTCAATGCATCCTACTACATTCCTTATCAGTAAGAATCATCACTAAAAAGTCTTATCAGTGTGTCAAAGTCAAGAAGGCGTTAGGGAGAAATTCCCCACAAAAGTTTGCCATTCGTACTTGTACATTAAAAAAAACATGACATGTATTTTGAAAGGCTATAGGACTGAATAATTGCGTTTAATTCGGAAAAAAAAAAGTAAAATGTTTTGAGTCAAATGGTGATTAGGAGAACATATTTGTTGTTTTGCCATCATAAGACATCAAGTGAACGAGTTCAATTAAATTTGAATAAGTCAAAATAAATTGAATTAATAAATAAACACGTTATTCATCCACTCAAAAGCTATTTGGGTAGAAAGAAATTGAACTGAACTAATCTATAGTTCGGATCATCACCCAACTTACTCAATTTTTACTAAGTTTTATTTGTTTGATTTTTTTGTAAAGTAGTACCTTATAAAATTATTTTCTTCCCTTATCATGATTATATATAACATATCAAATTAAAAAAATAAACTCTGAAAAATACTTATGAGTCAATTCAAAAACATATCAATCCAATTTTTCATATGCAAAAAATGCATCTCAGAAAAGGAAATTCAAAGCAATAATAATCCTTACCATGAAATTCATGGAAAGATGTTGAAGATGATCAACTGATGAAGTTAGGATCAAGCCATTTATGTCATGAATATATGTAGTTGAAGAAGGAGAAACAATTTTAAGACTATATACGATAACTATGCCAAACATTGATAATGACAACGACGTTGATGATATAGATATTACAACAATGAAGATGAAAGTGGATAACAAAAGAAATATTAAGATGACGAAGGAGATCAAAAAGAAGAAAAAGAAGATCAAGAAGGAACATAAAATGACTGAATGATAAAAGAAATATTGCAAATAGATCATCATTTTGCATTTTGGAACATTGCAAGATTATATTGGCAACGGTAAAGGAATAAACATGGATAGTTGTCAAAAAAAATAAAAAAATCCAATTTTTCATAAACTAAAGTGAATTTTCATTGGCTAATTTTGTCACACTACTCCTATAGTGATGTGACCTAATTCACCGTTGCTATGATCCACTCACAAAACATAGGAAGGTGGTCACCTAATGTTTTCCACTTCATGCATGCCTTCACTCCATTTACGATTTGTAGCTTTAATAGCAAAAATGACAAGTTTCCTGAGTGACCACTAAAAAGAAGTAACGCACGGTTTTTGAATTCGAGTCTTTGGACATAAAAAAAGTCTTGGGTAAGGAGCACTTCACCTTGAATGGGTCCTATGCACCATGCATTCGAATTAATCAGACTCTAATGTGAATATCAAACATTGTAGGAAAAAAAAAGGAAGGGTAAATATTTAAAAACTACATTTGAAAATTAATTACGACAATAATCAATCTTTCTTCTCCTCTTTTTTTCAACAAATGATGACCAATCAGTCTTAACTGTTTTACGGCTCTATTAATTGTGAAGCTCTCTTAATTCTCCATCGTCAAATTTACGTAACAAACATCAGTCAAAAATATCCTCAATGAAATTCACCGATCATAAATGATTGGAAAAGAATAGGCGTATTTTCTAAGTATAGATTGCATTAAATAGGCATCACGGATCAAATCCATCATTGGCTAATTTAATTTAAGTAAATTGGTATCTTTATTTATTGTTACATTCAATTTTATCCATAGGCAAGTACATTATATATAAGTAACTTGTTCTACAGAAAAACACCAACAAAATGGAACACCCAATAACTAATAAATTCACCGCCACGTTTATCTTCTTCATTTTAGTGCTCCGTACTGAATCAACTGAACCTCCATTTTCATGTGACTCGTCCAACCCAAATACAAGTTCATTTCCCTTCTGCAACGCTGCGTTACCAATCTCACAAAGGGTAAACGACCTCGTTTCGCGTCTCACTGTAGATGAGAAAATCTTACAGCTCGTTAATGGAGCGCCTGAAATACCTCGACTCGGTATCTCCGCTTATGAGTGGTGGTCGGAAGGGTTACACGGCATTTCTAGGCATGGAAAGGGCACGCTTTTTAATGGAACCATTAAGGCGGCAACTCAATTTCCTCAGATCATTCTTACTGCTTCTTCTTTTGATGAAAATCTCTGGTATCGTATCGCTCAGGTACGCCCTGTCATTGTTATCATGTTTGTTAAAAGATAAATTTTACTCTATTATTTTTCAACTTTAGGGCGTATCACCGGAATTCATCATAAATTGGCTTAGTTTTGTATTGGTTGTCAATCTATATCAGCCAGACGTGAATTCATGAATCGTGATCGTGTTTACGCTATAATGTCACATAAAATGTACTCCTTCTGGTCCTTTATAGTTGTCATGTTTGTCTTTCACACCTCTGCCTCTACCGTATTCTTATTTTTTAGTTGATCTTAATTTAATATTTCTGTTTTTTCTTTCACCACATTAATCTCTCTCTATTGGAGTAAGGGTAAGGTGGAACAAACTAATTAAATTCTATCTTGATTTTTTAAAATTCGAAAGTAATTATAGATAACTTAATGATCCTACAATTGAATGACATGTATTAAAATCATATCTACTTGAGTTGGAAATAAAATTATTGGACAGAAGAGAAATGTGTTTTGTTTGATAGAAAAAAGAAAATTAGTACTAGTTTGTTCAACTTGTTGCTTTCTGTAGGCAATTGGAAGAGAGGCAAGAGCAGTGTACAATGCAGGTCAGCTAAAGGGAATAACATTATGGGCACCAAATATAAACATACTCAGGGACCCAAGGTGGGGAAGAGGCCAAGAGACACCAGGGGAAGACCCTATGATGGTGGGAAAATATGGAGTGGCTTATGTAAGAGGACTTCAAGGGGATAGTTTTGAAGGTGGGAAGCTTAAAGATGGGCATCTTCAAACCTCTGCTTGTTGTAAGCACTTCATTGCTCAAGATATGGATAATTGGCATAACTTCAGTCGTTACACCTTCGATGCTCAAGTAAGTCATAACTAACTCTGTTGCTGCAGTACATTGATTTTAGCTTTTAGCGTTATCTTGTTGATAGCTTTCAAATGTTTAAGTTTGTTTACGGAGGAAATTTCCATTTTTGGAATGACAAATACTTCTTTTGGCTCCCTGTGATATATATGCCACATCCAAGAAGGTTTGCATTGTTGAGAGGATGTGTTGCATATCTAGAATAATTTTAATTATGTATCTCCACATATATAAACTGTTAGATATATTAGACGATTGACACAATTCAATTAAGTTATTAAATGAGGTTGTATTCCCACACTTGAAGAGTAACATCTACAAGATTGTCAGCACCATTTCTGTTCTAATAAATGGAGTTGTTCAGGTCTTGAAGCAAGATTTGGCAGATTCATATGAACCACCCTTCAAGAATTGCGTGGAACAAGGGAAAGCCAGCAGTGTAATGTGTGCTTACAATCTTGTTAATGGGATCCCAAATTGTGCCAACTTTGATCTTTTGACAACTACTGCCCGTGGAAAATGGGGTCTCCAAGGGTAATTTTCCAAAAATAGAAGAGAATGTTGAATCATGTTTCATTTCATTCATATGTGAAATCTAACTGCATATATATAAGACTAATAGTTGTGTGTAATTTAAAGGTACATCGTATCAGATTGTGATGCAGTTGAAAAAATGTATACTGAGCAACATTATGCAAAAGAACCTGAAGATGCAGTAGCTGCTACCCTCAAAGCTGGTAATTGATCTATTGTCTGTTTCAATTACTTTGCTGTTAAAAGAGCAAACTTTTCTAAAAAAACTAATTAGTAGAAAAAACATTGTCTTGCTTGTTTGTGAAATCGAAGATTGAATGCCTCACATCAATTATGTCTTGCTTAATTCTAAAGCGTGAGCTGTGACACAACGCATGTCGTAACAGAAAAAAGCTGATTAGTTTATAACCCATTCTCTAGCTTGCGTGTTTTGTAAAATGCAGGACCATTGACATGCCCATGACTTGGTCCATTCTGTCCTGAAGCTGGATGATCTGTGCATTACTATTATTAGCATGCTTTCTGGTCCTTCTAATAAATTCTGTTGATTACTAAAGCACCTGCTATTATGATTTGTGAATTAAAATTCAGTACTTCCTGTTGTCCAATATGAATGTAGGAAGATGAGAAGTAACATGCATTACTTTTCTTGGTAGAGATGAATTTTTTTCCAAATGGATCCTTGATTGAATGTTGTCAAATTCTACTTGTAAGAAAAAATATTATAAAAGAGAACATTTATTATGCATAATGAAACAATATGTCAAAACAATGTATGACAACTAGAAATTACTTTCAAATCTAAGAAAACTTTGTTGATGAAAACTAAATGCGTCTTTGTTCTTGGCAATGTAATGTCAGGCATGGATGTGAATTGTGGTTCCCACTTGAAGAAATACACAAAATCAGCTTTAGAGAAGCAGAAAGTAAAAGAATCTGACATCAACAGAGCTCTTCACAATCTCTTCTCCGTTAGAATGAGGCTAGGGCTGTTCAACGGTGACCCAAGTAAATTGGAATATGGAGACATTTCTGCAGCAGAGGTTTGTAGTCAAGAGCACCGGGCACTAGCCGTCGAAGCAGCAAGAAGTGGCAGTGTCCTTCTAAAAAATTCCAACAGGCTCCTTCCACTTTCAAAGATGAAAGCAACATCCCTTGCTGTAATAGGTCCCAAAGCAAATGATTCTGAAGTACTTCTAGGTAACTATGAAGGCTATTCTTGCAAGAATGTTACATTATTCCAAGGACTTCAGGGATATGTTGCAAACACAATGTACCATCCGGGCTGCGATTTCATCAACTGTACTTCTCCTGCAATAGATGAAGCGGTTAATATAGCAAAAAAAGCAGACTATGTTGTTCTAGTAATGGGATTAGACCAGACTCTTGAAAGAGAGAAGTTTGATAGGACAGAATTGGGGCTACCTGGTATGCAAGAGAAACTCATTACAGCGATCGCCGAAGCTGCCTCAAAACCTGTTATACTGGTTTTGATGTGTGGAGGTCCAGTCGATGTAACTTTTGCAAAGGACAACCAAAAAATAGGAGGCATTTTGTGGGTTGGTTATCCTGGTGAGGGTGGAGCTGCTGCATTAGCACAGATACTTTTCGGTGAACACAATCCAGGTGAAGTTCATTTTTCAACAATCCTTGTGGTTACTCTATTTCCTCAAATGATGTTTAATTGTTATCTATTGCTGGAACACTTGCTAAACATGCAAGACTACATTATTTTGCAGGGGGGAGATCACCAGTCACTTGGTACCCCAAGGAGTTCAACAAAGTACCAATGAATGACATGAGGATGCGACCTGAATCATCTAGTGGATATCCAGGGCGAACTTACAGATTCTACAATGGGCCAAAAGTTTTCGAATTTGGCTATGGTCTCAGCTACACTAATTACTCTTACACATTTGCCTCTGTCAGCAAAAACCAACTGCTTTTCAAGAACCCAAAGATCAACAAGGCAACTGAAAACGGTTCTGTTCTGAACATTGCTGTATCAGACGTTGGACCAGAAGTATGTAACAACGCGATGATAACAATTAAAGTTGCGGTGAAAAACCAAGGAGAAATGGCTGGTAAGCACCCTGTGTTGTTGTTTCTGAAGCACTCTAACACAGTGGATGAGGTTCCAAGAAAGACATTGATAGGATTCAAGAGTGTGAATTTGGAAGCAGGGGCAAATACCCATGTTACATTTGATGTGAAGCCTTGTGAACACTTCACTAGGGCTAATCGAGATGGTACTTTAGTTATTGATGAAGGGAAACATTTCCTTCTTGTGGGAGATCAGGAGTATCCTATTCCTGTATCTCTATGATCTCCCAGATCTAAGGTTTTTAGTTAGTATTAAGATAATAGCAAGTAAAAATTAATTATGGAAGGTGACTTATATATGCCAAATCTGCCAATATTTGCAGAAAGAAATTAGTTCTACTCTAGGTTTATGACAAAATATAGTTTAAATGTGACAAGTGAATTGATGAATAGTAATTGTTTTAATTAGTACTATCAATAAATATCATGTCTTAAGTATCATCCTTTATAAAAAATTCTACTTTAATTTTGAATAGTTTAAACTTTAAAGGATGATTAGTCCCTATCCTTTCTACTGATGAATATGACTAGTCCCACAATTAATTATGTTAGAATGCTCATGGATTGTCATTGTCCAACTCACTCGTGTAGCTTACCTCCACCAACTGCATAAAAATTATTCTTTAAACTTACGCTATATATTTTACTAAGTTTTAGGTTGCTGATTGTACATTTGATATTTGCATTTTGTAACACTATTTAAGGGTAAAACGCTCTCTAACAAGATCATTTTAAGTTTTAATAATATTTTTATTTTGTGTTGTTGGTTAAAAGAGTATGAGATCAAAATGATTACTTTTTACATTTATTAAGGATTATTCCTGTTAAAGGGTATATATCAATGACCAAAACAATCCAACGACCATATATTAAGGATCATTTTGGTAATCTTCTCTAAAACGTGACAACCAAAACTTTTCTACCCAAGAACGCATAAAATAATTAGTATGATCTTAATAAATATGGCCACAAAAAGTGTTTAAAGTTAGAAATTCTTGATACTTTAATAGTGAATTAACTGAACCTTCAAATATTGTGATAAAAGTTATTGGGAATAGAGCACGATATGTCCATTCACTTTGCAATTTAGAACGATATATCTATATTACAAAAATAGCTTACATATACTTTTATAAATTGTTCAAATATATCCTTACTGTTACACTCTTATATGCCAATAAATTTCTTAAAACATGAGTATTTACTATTACCTCGAATGATAATCTATATTACTTTAAAACATGACTCCGTATCAATGTTGATTGAACTTTTTATCTTTCGTTAAAAGACCATATAATAGATAAAATTATTATTTACAATTTATCCTAAAATATTATTTTGTTACATTTAGTAAAATAAAATTTGATACGACGAAAAAGGAAGAAGAAGAAGAAGTTGTTGTTTTTCTGGTTGAAGGTTAATTGTCAATACAATTGGAGTAGGTAAAACAACACGGGAAAAAGGGATAAAGATAGGAGAATAAGTATAAAATTGGCGTAGATTAAAATAACAAGAAAAAAAAAAGATTTAATATTTAATATGAGAATAAGTAGGAAACTTATTAGCAGTACTAAACTAGAACTTCCTTTAGTTCATGTTAATTAAATTGTTGAGAATTTTTTTAAGTTTTAGAGAAGTGTTGAAACTTTTTTCATATTTATCCTTCTTTTAATAAGGTTCTTAACTACTTTACATTTTTTTAAAGAATAGTTTAAAAATACTCAAAGGAATAATAACAAAAATAATCTTTAATTTATGTTCTTAAATATTTTTCTTTAGGGTTGTTCGTTGAATTTAGTTTATTTGGAATCCATGTTATTCTAATATAATAAATAATTTATGAAAAGAAAATTAAAAATCCTTCATATTTAGATAACTCCGTTTAGTAGAAAATTATAGTCTAATTATTTAGAAATTCAAGCCACACTATACTCACTAAAACATAAACAAATGTAGTATTCACCTAAGTTATTAGGGCTCGTTTGGTTACCAGATTATTTTATCCTTCTTTTTTTCTTTCTTCCATACATGCATTTATAATGAATGAGAAGTTGGTACTATGACTAACCAAACCTAAATACTAAGTACAAACTAACAAAGCAAAAAGTATTAAGACTAAAGATTCTTCCTACTCTCATTTTACAATAAATGATGTTTTATCTTGGACACATTTCTTACAAATATTACTCACTTATATAAAGTAAAAAGTATTTTTCTTAATTTTTCCTTAATAAGATATTAAATAATTTCTTGAAAATTTTATTTATTTAAATAAAAGTAAAATTAAAAGAGAAAAATTCAATATAATGAGATGGACCAAATGATCCCTCCATGTAACTCATTTGATCAAAACTTCAAAAACACATAATAATTTATATTTAGCTAATCATTTTTAAAAAAAATTATTAATATTGAACACCAACTTATGCTTAACCAAGTTTTTGAAAGTACTTTTAGAAATAAACTACTTCGTTTGCTTCTGAATAGTAATGGCTTATGCAATTACTTTCAAAGTACTTTTACTCTTTAATTTTTAAGTCACCTAAGATAAAGATTTATGTTAAGTTTAGATATACACATAATTTTTTTTAATTTAAACATCTAATTTAAGTATATCAATCAAATATTCTAATTGGGAAAGTTACTAATGAATACTGACCACTCATAACTCTGACTTGATATAAAATGGGTCGAAAATTAAAGTACTACAAAGAAATAACTTACATATATGTGTACTATATGAGATTTAATGACTTGTCAAAAATATTTTTTTATTTATAATAATTTTTATTCAAGCTATAAATACATGAATTTTACTTGATTTGCAGGGATATAAAAGTTCACGCTCAAAATTAATATAAAATAAAATAATTATTTTCTATACTCGAATTAATTTGCACCAAAAATCATCCTCATTAGATAATAACACTCATTTCAAAATGCTTTAGGCTTTAAAACTAAATGGATAAATTAAATATTGTATATCCAAAACTAGTAGATTTTATCTTACAAGATATAAAAAGTAAATAACTAATATGACATGGCATGCCAATCTAGATTTCTTTTTTTTTTTAAATAAAAGAGATTATTTTCTTTCTAGGACATAAATTTATAGTCCAATGATTTTATAAGAAAAAAAAAGCTAAAATTAACTCTAACGAAATCATTTCAATGGTTGGACAATCAAAAGTAACTTTAGTGAAATATTCTTTTACAACCAGAAAAACAAAAAGTATAGTTTCTATTTAGTTTGTTTCAAAAAGAATAATTTATTTCTTTTTTTAACAACACTTACACTTTAATTTTTCATGCAATTTTTTTAAAACCATAAAATTAAAGAATATTTTAATATATTTGATATAACTTTAATTTAGAATCATAAAATTAAAAAAATTTCTTTCTTTCCTTAAATTTCGTTCTAAATTAAACTAGATCATTCTTTTGAAACAATAGAGGAAAAGATTAGTTTCTTTTTTCCCTTATAAATAAGTTCACCTCTCTTTGTACCACTCCCAACTCCAACTTCTGTTTTCCCCCATTTTTCACTTCACAATGAAACTTCACATCTCAACTCTCATTACTACTATTCTCTTATGTCTATCATTCGTTTCGATTGTTGAATCAACTCAGCCACCCTTCTCTTGTGATTCGTCGAATCCACAAACCAAATCGTTAAAATTTTGCCAAACAGGACTTCCAATTAGTGTACGTGTACAAGACCTTGTTTCTCGACTCACACTCGATGAAAAAATATCTCAACTAGTTAACTCAGCCCCTGCTATACCCAGACTCGGTATTCCGGCGTATGAGTGGTGGTCGGAGTCGTTACACGGCGTTGGTTCTGCCGGAAAAGGTATTTTCTTCAATGGGAGTATTGCCGGAGCCACCAGTTTTCCCCAAGTTATCCTCACTGCTGCTACTTTTGATGAAAATCTATGGTACCGCATTGGTCAGGTTAGTAACCAATTTAAAAATCTGTTTGTTTAATTTTTTACTTTTATGCATTTTGAATTCTTAGAGCCGCGATTTATTGAGTTCTGTCAAATTCGTAAATAAAATTATAGTTCAGTTGATTGATTATTTGAACTTTGATCTTGTTAGTGAGGATTCGATTTTTTTACCTCCATTTCCCACCTTAAAAGAAACAATAATAAGGGCAAAATTGATTTTGAAGGCACTAATAGTATTTTATTAATTTTAAGCAAAAAATAAAATAAATATACCTTATTAATTTTGTGATTTAGAGCAAATACACCTTATCTTTAACAGTGACACATATACATTATTTTTTTAATATAAACTATCTTTGCTTTAAATTGTAAAGTTGAGCGGAATAAATTTACCCATATATTCTTATTTTTATGATAATTTAATTTTACATATAAGATATCTAAAAATATTATTATTTCCTATTCAATTTATGAATGATCAAAGAGATTAGTAACTTGAAATATAAAGTACACATTAGGTATGTAGGTTAATATAGTACTACATTTTGATTGTGTGTCGGCGGATCTATGGGAATTTATAGTGTCTCAAAATTCAATTATTGTTACTCCACTTTTTAATAAAAAAATATTTTTCAGTATTAATGATTCATTTAAAATTCAAGTAAAACAAAGTTGAAAGAAATAATCATCCATTATACGAAATCTTTACACCATCAGATTAAGTTTACTTATCATAATAGACGCTTGATATAATGACCTAGAAAATAAAAAATAACATGTTGTAGTGTAAAAATGTGAATTTTAATTTGTGACAATTTGAATTAGGTGATTGGAGTAGAGGCAAGGGGAGTATACAATGCAGGTCAAGCAATAGGTATGACATTTTGGGCACCAAATATAAATATATTTAGGGACCCAAGATGGGGAAGAGGTCAAGAGACACCAGGGGAGGACCCAATAATGACTGGCAAATATGCAATTAGGTATGTGAGAGGAGTACAAGGTGACAGCTTTAATGGTGGACAACTTAAAAAAGGTCACCTTCAAGCTTCTGCTTGCTGCAAACATTTCACTGCTTATGATTTGGATCAATGGAAAAACTTGGATCGATTTAGCTTCAATGCCATTGTAAGTTATCTTTCTTTTTTCTTGATATAATCGTGATGTTTGAATCAGTTTGTAACTAAGTTATTCCTATTGCACACATATTAAGTATTGCATTTTTTATAGTCTTTTTTGTTATATGGCCAATGAGTAATCAGTATTCAACCATTCTTCACTACTTTCGAAGTTTAGAAGACTTTATTGTCTTGATATGTTATGTACTTTTCCTATCATGGAAACAGTGGTCACGGGATTTAATTTTCTGAATTATTATTAGGGCAACAAGCTTATCTGTCAGATCTTTTTTCAAAAGAAAAATATTTTTTAATGCTTAAAATTTGGAGGGAATAATTCTTAAAATTTTAGTA